TTATTTATTTATTTAAAATACACTATATGTTATAAGTGTGCTGGGTATGTGTTTTGGATCCCTGATCTTGTATGTTTGGCAAAATTGCTATAAGAATTCAACTGTTTCATTACTTCAAGCAAAAAAGCCGCTTATGAATCATTGTGTAATTGTGCTGATTTTGAAAGTGAAACAGATAGCCAAGAAGTTGCATATCAGAAATATGACTTGTTTAAAATGTGCATTGACTAACTGTTCCTGGTGGTTTTCGCTCCGTATCGCCCATGACAGCTCCAACCCCCATCCTCGATATATAAGGCTCGTATATTGCACGTGTAAGTGCCAGTTAATCGTAAGCACAGGAATCTTAGACTGGGGATTCCTCATCGCCAACTTTCAGCCATCAATACCATCAGCTATAGTAGTCAGGCACACAGGTACGGCGACAACAGAAGAATAAGCAAAAACTTGGCTACCAGTTTGGCTTTTATAGCGCTTGTCAAACAACAAAGCTAACGGTAAAGTACTAGTATTCTGAGAAAAATCGTTGCGGTTCATGCGAAATGAAGTTACATAGTTATAGTAGCGACTAAATACGAGAAATTACAGAAAAAAACCCATTGTCATAGAAGACCAGCCCCAATTATAACGTTTTTTAAATGGTTTATTTTGAAAAGAAAAAGCTGCGGGTTTTTGAAAAAAAATCATCAAAACTTTCCAGACACTTTAATAATATTAGCACTGCAAGAGTTGACTATTCAAAAATCTGTAAGAAGGCTATTAATGGGCATGCTCCGCCCATTTAAATAAGCACCAAGAATATAAGTTAGTAAAATTTATGCTTGTGAAAAACTGCACTATGGCAGAACCTCCAAAACACCCTAACTTCATAGATAGTGGGGTTTCTGAGCGGTTTTGTCTTGATTCTTGCTATTACTGCTGCTTTTACAAAGAAGTTGAAGCTGCCTTGATGCTTCGATTATTTTTTTTTACAAATAAGTAGAATCTTAGGCCAAATTACTCAAATTATTTAAAAAAGCAAGTAATACAGAGTAAATATGACTTTAAAAAGCCCTTACATGATCTGCTGTGGTGTAAGCTGTTGTGGCTGGCCGAGAAGATGTGTGGCCATAAGTCCGATGTCGTTCTGAAATGCGATCTTCGTCGTGTGCGTCATGGAGCGAAAAACCGCGGGAGCGACGCGAGTATAAATGCCGGACTATGGCGTAAATAGGACGAGAAAAAGCGAATTAGGCGATTATTCTAGCGGATAAAAGACTGAGCACGTGCGAAAGAAGCAATCTGCTCAATTCACTTAATTGCGCATTGAATAGGTCATACTGGTAAGAAGTATAAACACATTAACAGCGAGCTAGAGAGCTGCAAAAATAGCGGTGAAGATAATGCCAAAGCAAGGGTACAATCCAGTAGAAATGGACGAGTTTTCGGCAGATGCATGGTTTAAAGGACAACTCGTCCATGAGAATGGCCCAGAAGGAGCTAGACAAGCTTGCGATTGTTCTAATTTATACTGAGACGTGGCTTGTCTGCCAAATTAAACGTGATCAACAATGTGGACGAGTTGTTGCATTAGTCATGAACACGTGTACACAACAACGCTTTCAGCGGCATTTTGATTAGATGTAAATTTAGGATGACACGAGGAACAGTTGTCCGATTCTCTAAAAAACTAAACAACTGCTCAGAA